GTTGGGGCATAAGCCGACACGACAAACAGGCACCGCTTTTTATCCCGCGAGGCATTGAGATTGATTGAACTAAATAACCGGACGTCGCAGAGACGAGGGATCCAATCCAGCAAAGCGCGTTCAGCTCTGGGGCTGAGCGCAACTCTCACGCCATATATTCCACCAGTCATCGCTTCTGGGTCACCGGACACACGGAGGGAGAAATGTGAAAGAGCTGAGTTCATCCTTGGCGTTTTGAGATGCATAACCACGCTCGGGTCTTGTATGCGTGTTTCGGAGACACAGCATACATCAATTTTAAGGGAGTACAAGGTTTCAGCAACCATTGCCTGTTTGCCAATTTGACATAGCGTACGGACGTTAAAAGCTCCTACATAGAAAGGATCTCGTGGATTTAGAAAGGTGTTATTTTGTTTAAGGCTTGCAGGCAGCGTGGAGCATAGGGCCCTTGGGTCAGATGACTGACAGTCAAATGGCCCAGCGACGTTTGCTTGTGCAGTGGGAAGGGGTTGGAGAGGGACATCGGTGGACGCCGAACTGTGCGGGCAAATGATACTTCCCGGTTGCCCAGTCCGAGGAAGGGGGTTTGGTTGAGGTATCCCACCTCGAGCCTTTGTCTTAAAAGTCTGACCCGCAAGGCGGTGGGATGACGTAGGTTTTGTTCGGGAACCCTGACCCTAGCCTCTGACTCAAAAGCCTGACCACGAGGCAGTGTGAGATTGTGGGGTTTTGTTCAGGGACCTTAACCCTAGCCTCTAACTCAAAAGTCTGACCCACGAGGCAGTGGGAAAATGTAGGGTTTTCTTTAGGCACCATACCCGGAACCGACGACTCGACAGTCTTACCTGCTCGGCTGCAGGGGGTTGGCCTAACCCGAGGGCGCAGGGAATAAGGCATTACTGTCTCATTCCTGATGCGGCTGCGCACAGCAGGTGCCTTTTGAGCAGCACCGGGCTCTTTGGTTTTAAAAGTATTTCGACCGTATTGGATAATGCGCCGGCGGTCACGGTCAACCGTTGGGCGATCGGAGTGTGCGGTTTTTGGGGCCGACCTTTTCTAACCCGTCCTTCCTCGGGGGAAGGCAGCATCGCTGCTTCCATAAATATGGACATGCTGGTCGCCTGGGGGAAACACCTTACTGCCTTCACACTCCTGTCGCAGAGGACAGTACGACTTTACCCCCAGACCGCCTCGTAGCACGATTACTCGTAGTACGGGGTCTCGCTGCTCTTGGTCTGGCTGCTCCCCTTTGGCACTCCTGGCATGGTTGCACATTGTGGAATGAAGTTACAGCCAGTGTAGCCCGCGGGATCGCTGCAGCACTCAAGCCCGATCACCACGTCAAGGTGGCAGCTTTAGGTCGGGGGAGTGCCCCATCACCATCGGCTTACTTTGAAAGCGAATTTGCGTGTAACAAATCGTCGCTGAAAGTGGCCACCATTTGTTTATGGTGCTTGCTGAGATATCATTTCAAAATTGCTTGAGCAAAACAAGTGTCTCTGAGGAGAGTATAGTAAGAATGAACCAGTGCTGATAAATCTTTTCAAACCATTACGCGCAGGTAGAAACGCTCTCCAGCCTATCTACAATGTGCCTCAAAAAGCACCTCACTGGGACCACTTTTACGAACTTAGTCATTCCAGTGTCTAACGGTTACATTTTCGGGGTTGTATTGAAAGGCAGGGAGTCGTGCAGACAAAAAGGGTTACTTTTGATGGTAGTAGAATAAAGGAGATTCCTTCAGCTGGGGTAAGTAACTCATCGTTTCACTAAAGCTTTTGCTTTTCAGTCAAAATTATATGACGCTTTGCTTCTATGGACGAGTTTTGTTTTACCCTGACGGTTTTTCCTTCTTGGTATATTCAGTCACAATCCCCGTAAGATGGGGGCGCGAACTCCAGGTTTGGAAGCACTTGTACAAGACAGAATCAGAAGGAGGCCCGCTATTTCTATTCTGTATCAGTAGTTCAAATCTAATGTTCCATCGCGCAGTAGTTTTTGGCAGGCAAAAAGAGTAAAGCTATACAAGCAAGTGAACCACATAGCCAGCAATATTCTCCTTACAATTGGTCGGTTTGGTGCTGCGTTCGTTATCCTGAAAACCCTGTTTCTGCATCTCAGAAAGGATTTGTTAGTTTCTTGAGTGGACTCCGTCCAAATTTAAAATATATAGGGTTTTTCGTTTCACACTGGTGGGCAATTCTTCAAAGTTCAACAACTACTTTATCCCTCAAAACCCGCCAATACTCAACACACCAGTCCACTTGTTCAATAATTACTTAGTCTCAGAGGGACGTATAGCAACAATAAGCAATTACATAAAAATTGTTCGGTGCTGCTTTCGAGAGTAGGTGCGCACATTTTTGAGGTTGTGCACTTTCCAGTGTAGGTAGTGTAGGTAGTGGAGAATGATGGAAAAGCTTCACCAAACAGATCAACATGGATTTCGAAGCTATCGAAGCCTGAGTCTGACCATGAGAAACTCAGGTTCCGCCTTCTCGGAAGGAAGGAAGAAAAACCTCGTTGAGAATCCTGACCATATCGGGACCAGCATTAACTATGTTCAAGGAATTTCCACCAGTTTTCAGGATGAAGAGAAGAACATACTCATTAGGTTACCACAGTTATTCTACTGGTGAGCAAGGTGGTGTGAATTAAACAAACGCCATCTGCTCTGGTATACAAGACCTATTTTGATATTCTAATCCTTACCCATACGATTTCTATGGCTCTTGAAACAATGAATCCGTAGTCTGTCCCTTTTTATACGACTGACTACGCTTGACCACCCCGCGGTTTCCTTAAAGTACCATGTTCACGGTCATAGAGTAAAGCTAACTCATACCGGTAACTGTACAAGATGGTCGAGGACTCCACAATTTGCAGGATCATCGTATTTACCGTTGTGGCTCGTCCACCATTCACTCCTTTAAAATCTGATTACAGTGCTAACTGACACTTGGTCAAGAGCTCTTGGCCGTTGACACTTGTGACTCTGTACTACTCTGTGGATATGGTTAAATAAGTTTACGCATTTCCACTCCAAAGGATGACTTCGAGATGTAAGATTCGGACTGGCTGGTTGAGGTTTGATTGGCGACTCTCTGGACCTCTAGCCTCCTAAACGAAGAGGTAAACCGAAATGTTTACCATAAGTTGATAACAGTGGAAAAGTGCAATCTGCAGCCACTGGGAAATAATAAAAGTAGATTGTACGGAAACCTTCTCAGCTGATAACGTTTCCCATGAGAGGGCGTCAAATTAAACCAACACAACATATATGAGGGATTCGATTAAAAAGGAACTTTCAAACCGAGGAGTTACCAACATGTCTACTCATACCAAGCTTTGCACCACATTTCTGTTGACACAAGGGATCTGTATTGGTTTCTACAACGACCCATTATCGATAAATTTGTGTCATCGGACAGGTTTTATGGTCATTTAATCTGGCCTGAAGGGACCCTGATGAAACCGATGTGTCGATCGATGTAGCATGGAAGCTCCTCACATTAGGCTCACAATCAAAAGGCCGAGTGCATGCACTGGTGTAGGATGCCGCCTTCCAAAAGTGGGTGCATATTAACCTAAATCCTCACTTATTAGTCATCAAAATGTTTCTTATCTCAGCTGCTGCTTGCAACTACTCTCATTTGCACACAAAATTTGCTTTTGACAAGATACTCGACTGAGTTCAGCTGAAACGCTCGTTTATGAGGTGGATCATCGTGAACGATATATTCAACTGGATTCAATGAGTTTTCTGTCAAAACCAAACTTCGTGCGCAAATGAGAGTATTGGTCTAAATTTGTCCAATGATCTGGATTCAAGTAGGATACAAGTTTGACGAAAAATCGGGAACTGTGCTCATCGGATTGATGAACCCTAATCATGGAGAAACCCGTCGTGGGCTGTCGAAGAGTTTTCATCAAAATAATGGGTGGTGCGCTACTTCCAGACAACAATACTTTTAGCACTTTTTTTGTAAAACTTCAGATCACCATCCTTACAACATACTGAGCACAAGTGATACCCATCTGTTGAAAACTGGATACTCAGTGGCGACTATCAGTGAGTTTATCAAAGGATACCGCTTCTACAGTGTCTGCTGAAGAGTGTTTTCCAAAATTTTTGAGCAACACGATAAAGAGGAACTTCGCGCGTGTCATACTCCTGACGTTGACTCATTTAACTGGAATCACTTTGGAAAATAGTGATAACCTGAAAAATTAGTATTCACGAATATCTATATTAATTTATCTGAAAGTGTGTCACGCTCTTCCGATAGCCTGTGGTATTTACTAAACTTTGCTATAGGGATATGTAAATCATAAGTTACATGCAAATCGTGGCATCTTCATTTCAGTCGTCCTGTACTACATGTGAAGAAACTCAACTACCGATTGTGAGGCACTGACATATTTTAATAGACAAAGTAAATCTTACAGGACACCACTCTATTGTTGCTAAGTAACCGTGTAACATCAATTTTCTGAAGGTGTCCATTCAGCTTGATATTCTTCCTAGGGTAGAATAACACGCGTAAAGAACTTAAACTAAACTTAAACTAAAGAAATTAAAACTACCAAACTGTCTCGTGTGTTTTGAAACCACTGCACATACCCTAGTCAATGCATCTAGGGGATTCTGTTTTCGCGAGTTTCACTAATATTTCTTGGCCTAAACTGTTGTCAGATTGTTCAAAGTCCTTACTTTCTTCGAGGACAAATGTCTTCTTTTTTGAGAAAATTCTGTGATGCCACCGAGAATGACATGACTGGAGAATGGCTTAACCTCATAACCAGCTCTATAAAGGTTATCAATCGCGGAGTTCTTAAAACTTGTATGAGCATAGGAACAGGAGTAGATAAAGTATATGCAATCGAGCCTTTTCTCAAGTATGTTTCACCCGCCGGCTTCTAAAAAGAATCTGACCTGTAATAAACTACATGAATCCTTTCTGTAAGGAGCCGTGTGTATTCATGAAGGGACTTGTATTTATGATGCAGACGTAACTTGTTATAGACCTAAAACTGCATCGACAGCAAGGAAATCCAACAAAGAAACAAAGTTGTATGAAATCCCATAGCTGCAGTTATGTGAATCCCTTCTCAAGGCTTCTGCTGTGTCCGCCAGACCCCTTAGACACATATTTACCATTGGAAGGAATTAAAGGTACACAGGCGCTGACCTAATGTCCACCGCAATTTGAGAGAGATGTAGCTAGGCGACTGTAAGACTATACAACAATTCGAAATGACATAGCTCACTTAAACTGTGAGACAGACTATTCGGTGATTTACGTCACATTATGGGTTGTCAATAATATTTTCTGACAAGCTGTGAGCTAAAAATTAACTGGTTAATAACTCGTTTGCGTCACTTAGTATTAATACGCTACGGTTTTCTTTATCATAGTGAAGCGTCATTCACACAACCGAAGAACCGAACTGTGAAACTCAAAATACGAGCGAAACTGAGATTAGACAGATCGAAATCTCATTCGATAGTATGACCAAAAAATGTATTCCATCTAAATACGGACACGCTTTGGCAATAAATGGCGATTCCATTTGAAAATCGGTGCCACCCATCGAAGTGTTTTCATTAGTGCATTGTGAAATGATGACGAGCTAAGCTTTAGCGGTATATCGGTGCGTTTGTGTACCTCTGGATTCCATAAGCATTTGTATCAGTCTAGTTTCGAATTGATCCGTGTGGAATTTTAAGATAAGGTTGAAGTCCGGCAACAAGGTGGGGTTGTTTTAAAATCAGTTGGTCACCATACACCAAAATAAGGTGCGGGATATGGGCAAATATTTTCTTTTGTTGAGCTTCCACGTGAGATGATGATTAGGCACACGTTACGAGTAGTGTATGAACTCAGTGAGAAATA